GTGTAAATGTTCCCAAACCTGATCCTCCTCCACCAAGGGTAAGTCTTCATTGCTCCAGACTTGCCCTCTGGTCTCAAGGGCCTGGGATTCCTGAAGATTAGTCTTACCAGTAAAGACTGAGACAAAGAAGGTGTTTGCTACCACTACCTTTTCCGTGTAATTTGTCATCAGGGCGCCTGCCCCATTCATCAATGGGCCCACATGTTCCCCAGCCTTCCTTTTGCTGCTTACGTCCTTGTAGAAGCCTTCGTTGTTGCCTTTCATGTCCTTCACCAGTTTCAGCTCTAGGTGAGCTTTATCTCTCCTAACCTCATCCCTGCATGTCCAGGCAGTGGTTCTATGTTCCTCCTGGGTCGCCTGTCCCTGCTTTCACCTTTTGCACACTTCCTTTTTTGTATCTGAGTTTAGTCAGGGGCTCCTTGTTCATCTATGCAAGTCTCCTGCTGCCTTTGCTTAATAGCTGGTAAGTGACCTTTGATGAACCATATGAAAACCGTGGATCCAAACCTCACTTAACCTTTGATATTCAACTATCATGCTTGGGCTGGTTTCTGGTGCTTCTTTTCTCTTGATTGTACAGCCTGACAAATTCACTGATCTTCAGGCAAAAGAAACCACTGACTGACAAGTGTGATCTCTTCCACTCTGCAGGCCACAGAGTTTCTCTCTGTAAAACTTGCCTAGAAGAGAATTGTGTGGTGCTGTTGCATAGGTATCCATGCAGGGAAGATCTGGTGTGTCATTTCTGGCATGGAGTTTCAGCTGAGATGGGATGAATTTGGCACATTGTGTCTTTATAATTTTGAGGTCAAATACCCTTCCTGAGAGCTAATAACAAGTACACAATGCATTTAGCTCTGGATTCACAAAGACTATGTGTAGGCTTTCCTGCTGGGAAGGAAAGAGGTACAGCTGGAATAGCAGGTGCCTGGCATATCCATAGCAGGGGTCTGTTGGAGGTCACCAGTCATATACACGCACAGACACACACACACATACATTTTCTTCTGTGGGAAATATTGGTGGAGGAAGTAGGGTTAGTGGATTCCTGGATCCGGGGCAATTCCTGGGTCTGGGGCACAGTTGAGGTAAGCACACAGATTTGAGGCTGTGTACAAAACTTTCTAATCAAGACAAATCCAAAGTAACTTGGGCTTTGCCCATCTGAGCAAGTCAAGGATCATCTCCCATGTTCCTGGCCAGTGCATTTCTCACAGGCTACAGAATGAGGATCTCTCTTTCTGGACTGGTAAATCTCATGTGCGTTTGTTTACTTTTGCCCAGGAGCTACAGCTGAGGATACAGATTCCCTCCTCATTTTCACTTATAGCCTGGTGCTCAAACCATTTTCCTACGTCTGGACTCCCTCTGACTGAGATGGGGTTAGCTCATCTCCCGTTTCCTGAGCAGCACCCTAATCAGTAGGCTACGACGCCAAAAACAATCCCAAAAGCTTACCTTCTGTGCTGAACTCAGAGCTATCAGTCACATGTTATTTGGTAACACTCAATGCCTATCAATCAGTGGGATAAGGTCCCCAGATTACTTAGTGGAGGGCTGCTTTGGTCCCAAAGCCTGTAGGCAGGATGCAGTCACTTAGTCGGCTCTAACATGATGTAGATAACTTTATATCTGCTGTAGCATTGTCTCACAGGTTGAAGCAAAATTTGGAGTAATACTGAGGAACTTCAAGGAGCAGGGGTTTTGGAGGGTCACTTTATATGAGTCAGGTAACTTAATGAAATAAAGCTTCCCCCTGCTCTCTGATTTCCAGGAAATGAAACTCAGGAGTCTGAGCTCAATGGGTACCTCAGACTGTCCCACGTCCCTATGACTGGAGGAGCAGAAATTGGGACCATGTCACAGTTTGCATCTGCTCTGCAGTTTGGACACAGCTTGTCCTATCATACATTTATTGCTTGCTACTGATTCCTGTGGTTATTCGTTTAGTCATGTGACACTAACTGAATGTACACCGGTTATGCCTGTTCTATATGGTATGCAATATGTAAGAACTATCTTTAACTTTATTAAAGCTTAGCAGGCGTGAAGCATCTTTTATTAAAGCAGGGATGAAAATAATGTCAGGTTAGACGTGTAACGTGTCTGGGAAAAAAACAGAGTTCTCCAGTTATGAAAAATGAAGTCCTAGAATTGATATTATTGATATTATTCATTTCACCTGAAAAATTAAGCAGTAATGACCATCATATAGGCTATTTCAGGCAATTAATGATCAGCTTTAGAGGTCGATGGCCTGTGAGAAAGCTAAGGAACATTAACCTCTGCTTGCGATTAGTCATTCAGATATTGCCCTCTGCTGAGTCTATTGCAAATTCCTCCCATTTTTAAAATACACAAGTTGAACATTACCCTGAAAGCATCCTTAATGTAACATGAGCAAAAGTGAGGGAGATGTCACTGTAAAAATAGCAAGCAGCAGCGTTAATATTGTAAAAGCCCAAAGTCTTCTTGCAGATGTCTTTATTTCTCCATGACCGCAGGGGCTATGGTGCTGCCCATGGCTGATGGCAGAAGGGCAAAGAAGAATCTCCTCATGCTTTCAGTCGTCCAAGATTCAAGGAGGTCCCCTCCCAGGGCCACTTGTAGCATGCTTCATGGCCACTAGCACAAAGTCGCCTGAGAAGCAACTAGCAGGGGAACATTGCATGTCTTTTATTATTGTGCATGAGTTTCAGCCCTTTACAAAAGAAAGTAGAAGGAAGATGGAAGATGGAGCTTTGAGTGATGTTTGCCTGATTGGCAGGGCAAGGGCCAGAGGGGTTTGTTAGGCAACTTTGGCAAGAATCTAGGATATTTCAACCAGGAGATTACAAGCAGGTGGTTCAGGACAGGGCTGGGAGAATTAACATTTAAAATTTTAGAGACGGACATGGAGCAAATGCAAATAATGTACCCTGGAGCACTAAAGATGGCAAACAACTCAGGCTGAAATTAGATGAATCCAGTGCCCCTCAGTGCCAGGCTTATTTAAAAGGTTAGTCTTCAGCACCACAAGTGGTTCAGTCTGGGACGGGCATGGTGACTGATTTGTTCAGTGCTCTGTGGGGGTAAGGACAGTCCTTGTCTTGAAGAATTTGCAATTGGAGGCATGCAAGCACATGTTCAAAATGAAGCTATGAGGTGTAAGCTCACACTTCAGCTAACTGCCTGGACAGAAATTGTGTCCTGAACTGAGCCCTGAACCAGCAGCAGGGTGAGAGTCACTCACAGTGGTCAAAATGTGTATAAAATGAGGTCACTACTTCTATCTACTCTGATTGATGTTTTTTCCCTAACAATTCCAAATGAAGAAATTACTAATGGACCTGATAAAACACTTTTCATACTAGTTTCCATGATGGAGGAGCAGTCTGAAGCACTTAATACATAAATATGCAAAATTCTGGCATTTGGAAAACTGTAAGGCATGAGAAACGAGGAAGAAAAATACCTTACAATCTACCCTCATTTAAGATATGCATATACATACATACATGCATATATCTTCTGTTTGCAGCCTGCTAAGCTATCCCTTAACTGGGATAGCACAAAGAATAGGGCCAAAACAAAGATAAACTAGAGCTTCAAGATGAGATTGAACAGTTACATCCCCATGCCTATTTCATACTAAATACCCAGATGTTAGATAGAGACTATGAAGTTTAATAACTAAACAAATGGAAAAAGCCACAGAGCCCCAAATCTACAGCAACTGATTTGAAGTGGGTAAAAAGGATGTGTTAATTGATTCATAACTCTTTCACAGAGAAGTGGGAACCAGAATAGCAATCATTTATTTCAATAAAAGAAAATGTACTTTGTTTACCTTCTTATTCATGTTTGTCCTGGGAGGGGGGAAAAAAATCAAGGTTTTTCATAATCAAGTTATACTAGATATGATCTTCCGAGTCACATTTGTTGCCAGTGCAATTTTGCTGCAGGTGAGAGTAGCCTAATCCATGTGAGATCACTCTCTTGCTTATCTCATTGGACCACTTACAAAGAGATATTTGAGCAGAGACCCTGGAGAGAAACAGGAGTGAGAAAATTATAGGAAAATACGTCTAAACAACGTTACTGCTTCTAGGAATATGGCATTCTTACATGCTGTAGAAAATTTATTCATTTTATTGCATAGTACTACATTCCCAGGTCCAAAGGATAATTGCTTTCATCTTATAGGAAGAGAAAAACGGATGCTATCAGACCTAGTCTGTTGTTGGAGCAGTAGTTATGCATTGTATCACACTGCTTGCTGTGGCCCAAGTTCTAAAATTGGCTCCAGATTTCACACTAGATTGGCCTGTTAAACCATATTTCCATGGTCTACTAGTAGGTTTCTCTGGAGTGCTGCCTTGCCTTTTTTTTTTTTTAAACCATTGTCCAAAACAATTTAAGAAGATGAAGGTCTAAGGGAGCTTACTTGAGGTTTCAGAAGAAAACAACTGAAAGGAAGAGAACAGGGAAGCTCAGCCTGACCTTTCCAACCCTGTAAAGTCAGCTATGCTCTTCATCTTCCTAGTTTAATTAGGGCTTGCAAAATATGCTTGCCTCAGCCCAAATCTCCTCGCACAGTCCTCACTGCTGTGATGAACAAACTATTTTGTTCATCCATCAAAAAAAAAAGGCTTACTTTTAATGGATGAATAGAATTTTGCAGCTGGTTGACTTTCCTTAGCAATTAGATATCTCCCCCTTAGAGGTCTCTGTACTACTAATTTTTTCATAGTTTCTAGTTTCATAGTCTAAGTATTTATTCAGAGAAGCTTCTACTGTCAAGCTACTCATATTGGTCTATTAACTTTGAGTTTATAAACTAATTGATCAGAAGAAATCACCTTTAAATTGTGAACATCAGTCTTTATTATTTCTTTTCTCATTCTTGTTTTCATGGGAAAGTTAATGCATTCTAAACATTTGTATAATATTGTCATTTATTGTTACAGGGAGTGTAATCATTTCAGATTTTTAGGAATAGATGCAGTAGATACCTTGTACACAAGAGGGCAGATCTGCTTCTCCTTTCATCATCATTAGTCCCTTGGTCTACTTCATGCGCCAATAACTTCTGCATCCAGCAAGGTATCTGGGTCTAGATGTCACAGAAAAAGCATGGTAATAAAGCAGTGTTTTAGTCTGTATAGATAACATTGTCTAAGGATGGTCTAAAGGTCTCTAATGCTGCTAGAGCAATACCTACAGGAGTAGTAGAATAAATACAGTTACAACTGCTCCTTCACGTTACTGCCACTAGTTCCTGAGCTTAACTTTTAGGTTAGCAAGCTGAAAAAAATAACAAGGGGGACTCTCATTTGGGGTTTTGATTCTTCAGGGTAGTTTATGGGGACCCACTGTGGATGAAGGCTTGGGGCTGTGCAGGCTCCACGACGTTACATGACGTGGAGCTGAACCCTGGCAGAGGTAAGGAGGGAGTTAGATTCCCCTGGGCCCTGCTTCCCTGGGATCCACATGCTGGATATTGGCATGCCCAGCTATGATTCAGTTCTGAATTTAAATCTCTTAAGAGAAAATAATACTTCATCTGAACCTAAATTGTTGGTTAGCCCCTTTCCAAACTCACACAGACTCCAGCCACAGAGACCAGCTACCTCAGGAGGCCTGGCTGCCCTATGAGTAACGTCCAGGGCCCACACCGTTGTTTCTTTACAGAGAAACTTTCAGTCTGATAATAAAAATGGGGCTTCCCCATATTTCCAGGATTAATTCAACTCCAGCTTTCTGCTTCCCAGGAGACTTCATAGCTACCTCTTGCTTCCTAAGTCACTTTGCCCTTTTCATTTGGTGCACAGAAAACTGGAGTTTTCTGATCACTTCACCACGTGAAGGATCAAATCAACTTTTGTAAAACACTCTTGAGGCTGTAAGCAACCCAACAGAGGTGAATGAAGCACACTCCTTTTCCCATAGCATGTTGATTTAATATAAATAAACAAAAAATCAAGGCCTTATGCAATGATACAAGGTGACACAACTATGTTGTCTACATCACAGTCCGAAGAAGAAAAGGAAGTGACTGTAGATTTTGAAAAAACACTGGTGGCTTGTTTTTAAAAGGAGAACAGACTTTCTAAATCAGATATTTTTCCTAGAGTCTGGGGCAGGGGAGGGAAGAAGAAAGAGGCCTCAGTGTTTTCCATTCTGAAATGGAAAATACTTGGATAAAGGACAAAACTTTTTTTTTTTTTTAAGACAAGAGCAAAGGTCAGATAAGCTCGTCTTTAAAAAAGGAATCCAGTGAAAGAGAGAACTGGCTGCAGTTGATTTGAATGCTTTTCCCTCTCACTTTATGGTGTCTTCTGATTCTGTCACATCCCATATATTTTATTTACAGGAGCAGAATATTGTTGTTGCCAGTGTCACTTGGTAACTGTCCAGCCAAAGGCCACCTGTTGGAGAACATCTCAATATGAGAGCTGAATGCCAGCTTTAAAAAATATCAGGGATATTGTTAAAGCCGCTCATGTCAAATGTAATTAGAAATTTATTGGGACAGTGCTGGAAGATCGTCTGGAACTTTCCAAAAATGCTGGACTGCTGATTACCAAATGTGTTTGCTTTTCCGTTTTAGTGATCAATGAAGCCGTGTACGCGGAAAGACTGAGGAACTATTTCTCGTGTCAATCACAACTAGAGAAGTGTTAGTCATGTTAAGAAGTTGTTAATTATACATTAAATTAAATGAATGACACATGCTCTTGTACACCACACTCACCAAATGGCAAACACATCAAAGACACTCTGGCTTATTCTCTATGATGTGTATGTTTGGCCTACAAGTTTATAATAATTTATGCTTTTAAATAGATGATTGTAGCGCATAAAATAAGCAGAATTCCTATCATCTACTAGCCATCTTATTAATCCATTTTCTTTTACAGACACCTCTGTACAGTCAAGACAATAATGGATCTACCTTATAAATATATTTCATGGTGCTGTTGAAAAATAGTTCTAAGGACTCACATCTATTCAATGTGAAGAAAAAAAGGATTGTGTGAATGGGCCCCTTGAACAAGCCAGCAAGGAAGCTAATCTCTTGTGTTAAATTGGAATTGACATTGCCCTAGCTAGGTCCGTAGAGGATGGTGAAAGTGGAAGCAGCCAAATGCATGTGCGAGTATATGCACCTGTTCATACGTATATAAAAATGAATGAAGGGAAAGTAAAGAAAATGAATGCGAATGAGAAAATATACCGTGCAACAAAACAAGGGAAAGCACAAGCATACTGGCTGGCTATTGGAAGAGCGCTCGAGGATATTCTCCTATTCTTATTAGCTTTCCTCAGCATTTGTTTTTTGTGCATTGTTGGTGGCAGGCTACCTAGGTGGCTCTTCTTCCTGAGGCAACATAGCCTTTCTTAATTCTATCACAAGCAAAATACTTTCCTTAATATCAACCTGTTGCTGGGAGGAGATAGTAAATTATTCAAAATGATAATTTGGTGAAAATTTAGGTTAGTGTTAGGAAAAAAGCAAGATGGCCTAATTTTGAACAGATCTTGGAGCACCCTGGAAATCTCAGAAGCATGGAAACATGAGGATTCTGTGTTAGCAGGAGGTTAACTTTGGCTATGGAGCTTGATATTAGACATTAGCAAACAAAAAAAAAAACCTCAGAAATGAACAAAGCAGCAAAGGCAAAAAGAATAATTAATACTAACCCACATGGGCTTATGGAAGATGAATGTGGTCATAAGAAAGTCTGCTTTTCCTGTTCTGACAAGATCACAAGTTTGTGTGATAAAGGAGCTTGACGATATACGAAATAGATTTCCATAAAGCGATTCTGCATGACGCATGGGCTAGTGTTATCGATACAACATACTAAATGCCTTAAACTGCCTGTATGACAAATGCCAGAAATTATTTGTCAAATGGGTATTCATAAATGGTCATTTCTAGTCACTCTGCACGGATCTATATAAGGATTGATTCTGCTTATCACTTTGAACAATAATTGAGAAGTATACTTAAATTGTTTGTAATAACATTTTATAGATGATGAAGAGAGGCACAGTGATGAGGAAAGGACAGTGATACAGAATGGTCTAGGTCACTTGGGGAAACAGGATTTCAAAGTCTGCCCCCGATGAGAAAAACTCATGGATTCCCTTATTTCCCAAAGCCAGGTGTATTCTCCTTCAGGTGTGGTAACACAGCCAAAATGTGCTTTAATAGCACAGCCAAATGAGGATCACACATCAAAGAAAAATGGCTACAAAAGAGCCTGGCCATCCCTACGGAGTGGGGAATTGCGTCCTCAAAAATATCATCTCCCTATGGGAGTTTAAAAGGTGACAGCATACAAGGACCAGAACAGTCACCCTGGGCAGTGCTGGCAGCTTAGATCTTGGGTGTATAATCAGAGTAGTGAAGTAAATTTAGCTCTGTTGTCAGCACAGACACTAGCACGCAATTCTGGTGCTCTGTTTTTTAGTGGAGTTTGAAAGACTGCAGAGGCTGCAGCGAAGAGCCACCAGAATGAATTGCAGGCTGGAAAAACTGCCTTACACTCAGAAACAAGAAGAATTTGCTAATTCTTCAAAAAATAGATTGAGAGAAAGTCAATTTTAATATGTGATTTCCTTCGTGGGACAAGAGAGTCTTAATATCTGGAAGTTAAATCCAAGCACATCCAAATCAGAACCAGTGACAGACATTTTCAGCTGTGACTCTGAATCACTGGAACAGATTACAAAAGAAAATGCTTCATTTCCCATCGTTTGGTGTCTCTAAGTAAAGGCAACCCTTCAATTAAAGACTAAAGGTTAGGGTGAGGGTTACCCTTTCTGGATAAACTGTTTTCTTTTGTTTGTTTGTTTGTTTTCCAGAAAAATACTATACTACAACCTATGTCATACAGCAGGTCAGAGAGGTGCTCAGGTTTTAAAGCCTGTATGTTATTAACACAAGAAGCTACCTCAGTGCATCAGGACAGAATGAAGGGCGCTGGCCTATGAAGACCATCTAGGTTACAGCCATCTAGTAAGGTCGCTTAAATGTCATTGCAATGTCCACTGCTATGTCACTGGGACTGAGAGTTAATTTGAAAGATGGCCTGGATTTCCTCCCACTTAGTGGCTGTGTTACTCGTGGCTAGAATAAGGTTGCTTATATAACTGATTTAGATCTGGGCATGGATGTGGGAGACTGGTGAGAGCTGGAAGAGCACGGGCTGGGAGTGTGTTTAGATATTTCAGATAGCACTTTGCAGTGTGAAACAGATAAACATCATCATCGAGCCTAGAAGCTCTTACCTGTTTATTTTAGTGCTGCTGGAAGTTAAACACACTCCAGCTTTTCTTCTGTTGCCATGTAACAGCCCCTATTGTTGTCACAACCCAGCTCTTGCACTTGACCAAGATATCTTGGCTATTCCGAACACTTTTGGCTGTTCTTCTCTCTTCTATCAGACATTAAGTTTCAAATGACTAAGTGGGTTCTTTTTGGAAAAGGTGAACCTGCTTAAAAAGGAATAATTTCTCTAAGTATTTTTACCTGAAATTTGAAAATGTCCTTTAACTCCAAGTGGATATTTTGTGTTTGTATAGCGGATTTCATATACATTAGGGAGCATTTCAGACCTGGAGTGTTTAACTGCTAATAGGATTTGCAGGATTTGTTTGTGAATTCCAGCCTTCTCATTTACTTCACTGAGCTTCAAGTTTATACATTGTGAAGACTAGAATGAAATATTAACTGTGTACAGCTAAACAAAGAAAGTTTCTACAGTATCCTGCACTATATTTTTCTCCTACGTTTTCTGTTGGAAAGAGGACAAAAAGGGGAAAGTAACGGTAAAAAATTTGATAGTAATGTATTGCTTTTAAAACATTTTATTTACTTTTAAAATAGCCTGACTAAAGCATTACCTGCAATTTATGGGGCGCGCAGCTGATATACAGGAGGTCCTAAAAGAGCCATTAATGCAAATTCAGTCGGAAACTGAAATAGCTGTGACCGGAGCTATTGTCACAACAGCAGTACTTAGAAATCATAGGAACAGTTTGAAAAGATAACACTGCTAAAATGTGGATGTTTTCCCACAATACCTTCAGTCAGCTACAAAC